CAACAACAACAACAACAACAACAAAAACAAAAAAAACTGCGGGGGAGAAGAAGATATAACAAGCACAATTTTTTATTTGTTTTTTTGAAGTTCTTACAACAAGAAAATGGAGGGGACACACCTGGGTGGGAGGGGGGAGAGGGAGGAGGGAGGGAGGTTTCGGTGATGGGACACAATAATCAACTACATCGTATATTGACAAAATAAAAATTTAAAGAAAAAAGGTATTGACAAAAATATAAAATAAAAACAGCAAAAACCTAAAAAAAATAAAAAAATTAAAATAAATAAATAAAATGCATACAGATGTTTAACTAAGCAAATATGCAACTACTGTACAACTACAATATGGATCATTGTAACTAAAGTGAGCTTCTTCATTACTAATCCCTCCTCAATAGAATATGGTGGAAATACTTATAAGGGTCTCTTTTCCTATCCTGGTGCACTACAGCCTATGATGTGCTCTCATATCATACATTAATCCAAAATGCTGAAACTGTTACTTGTCTAAATAGTTACTTCCCTGCATTAAAAATAATTATGTAAAGCAAAAAAAAAAAAAAAGAATAATAGGGAGAATATAGAAAACATTAACCAATTTTTTCAAACTTTTTTTAATTGTTAGCAATGCCATTTCACCAGTTTTTCTTCTTATTCATGCAGTTCAGAAATTAACAAAATCGAATTCTCTTTTCATAGTTGCGTTGACTTCGAGAGTCTCAGTCTCCAGGGTATAAAATGCTTTGGCACTGCTGCGTTCCACAGCATGGGGAAAGATTACCAACAGCTTCCTAAAAACAAACAGAATAAAAATCTAGAATTAGCTTCCTAAAGGGATATGCCTTCAATAAGGCAATAGAAAGCAACATATACCACTAGAATGTTGGAAACCAAAAAAATCCCCAATATTTAGACAGTATAAATACTGGATCAAAAAATATGCCGAAATGACATAAACTAGTATGCCAGTTTTTTTTTTTTTTTTTTTTTTTTAGTATGCCAGTTTTTTGGCCTTAAAAACCCAAGCAGTTGTTTTGACTCTCCCCTTTTTTTTTTTTTTTTTTTTAAATTTACCTCATTTTGCACTGTATAACATAGTCTCAGGCTACGTGTACAGGAATAGAAATAGAGCCATGCAACTTTGAGTTTGTTGGACAGAACTGTTGCCAGTCATATTCAGGTGTAGATGGAATGTGGATGACTGATAGAAATTTGAAAATTGGAAAGGTTCTATAACACTTCTGCTAACACAGCTTTAGCCTGGGTCTCTACTACAGGTGTAGTTTTTGAAACTCAGGCCTGGAATGATTTCAATACCAGATCAATGAAAGTGCTTTTCTCTGCTTGCTTCTGATTCTTCATACTACACATTGATAAAAATTCCCTGTGAAAGACTGCCGGGTTTATTTTTCAGTTTATGGCTCAGTTGCAGGATAGTTAGTTGTATGCTTTAGAGGCATTGCTAGGATGAGACATCTATAATTCTGTCATAGTGGTATGAATCTAAATTATGCACGGGGTCATCACATGCTGTTTTCTGAAGAAAATTAAATGCATGAAACACTTATTACCTCACATTCTCAGTAGAGAAGGCCCAAGTATCTCTAAAAAGGTGGACAGAAAAGCTCTTTTAGAAGGTATAAGATCCAAATCAGTAATCAGGTATTATTTTAGGGGCCCTTATTGGATACTTGAATAGAGAACAAGTTTATACTTAAAAACAAAACTCTTGAAAATCAATTCCCTCTTTACTCATTTGCAAAGACCTAAGTTTATAAGTCTGGGCTCATTGACAGTATTTATCACACATTTCTAGGGAAAAAAAAAAAAAAAAGACATTTTCTGTGACTCTTGTTTCATGCCAGGCGGAGTAGAAGAAACACTTCCCTTCACTAAAGTAATCAAATGGCAGTGTATTTTCATGTAGCCTGTAATATTTGGCATCTCAAAAAAAAAAAGTGGGTACAAAAAACATTTACAGTCCCTCCTTTAATGCTGTTTACAATATAGGTTGTGCTGGAGTTAGATTTGCTTTATCCCTTATTCTACAAATGATAATATATTCACTTTAACAAGAAGGCAAAGCTTAATGTGGTAGCTTCATTGCCCTAAAAGACAGCTATAAATCAGCTGAAGAAGGAGTTCCAATGATAATGTGCACTTCTCTGTCTGGAGAGAAATCCAAAAGAGACAGTTATCGGCCACTGGAATAATACATCTATCCTTGTATTTCTGTCTAGTTGTGGGTAGTATGGCTTCACATACTAAAATTTTGAACAATAGAACTGTGCAACGGATTTAGGGACGTATTTTTGTCTAGTTTGTTTTACTGTCTGATATCTGCACTGAGATTTAAACAAAATGAAAATTCTACAAGTACTTATCCGTGTACAATTCATTGAAAGACAGGACTGTATCTTATCTTGGTGATCCCTTAGTGTCTAGCAGAAGACTTTGTAAAATGTTCGTTGAGTGACTAAATAAATAAATAAATGAAAAGCAAATATTTAGGTCGCCACAAAATGTCACCTGAATAATTACCATAGATTAGTACTATAAAATATGAATAAACATTTAAACCCAATCCCTCTGCCTTAAATTGATAATATATTTGCTTTTTAAGAAGTTACAGTTTAGGTGCTGATCAAATGTTCACCCAGTGTTAATTTTCATTAGAAATAAATTAAGTGCAAATAATAATATGTGAAGCTAAAAACAAAAAAAAATTATGTATACAGTGAACTCAAGTTTAGAGACTTACATGCTTAAATTTATATTAGAGAGTTTAAGTTGATGTTGCTTGCAAGAGATTTAAATAAAGAATAACCTTGTTATGCACATATTCACATAATGCAGTTTTTATTTTATGTATTTAACGATATTATTTGCTTTACATATCTGGGTTAAAAACAGACATGGCGTTTTTAAGATTTCCTCTAGGAGAAATAACTATTTTCAAAGAAAGTGGAGAAATAGTGACTAAACTGCAATTCAACTACTCCATTTAGAACTTTTTAAAAAATTTTAGGTAACTGTCTGAACATCAGGTCAACTCTCAATTAATCTGAATTAAAGGAGTACAGCAAAGGTGTGAATAATCTAAAGGAGCACTCAACCAAAATTAGCTTGTATTTGTCTTTGGAATGTGTTTTTATTATTATATTCAAGATATTCATTTATGATATTCTTAGAATTCATCTAGAAAAATAATGAAAACTCATATGAAGACAAAAGTCAGGAGATTCTGGAAAATTATTCAATTTCCCTAATCTTTCCTCCTTTCCATCTATTCCATGCTGGGAATCCACATGCCAAAACAACCAACTAAAAAAAAAAAAAAAAGAATTCGGCAAACTACTTTATTTCTTTTGGCTGTATAATACTAAGTATCTGGGTTTTATTTGTAATTCTAACGCAATTGACTATTATTTGACTGAAATCACTAGTCAATCCTGTTAAAATAAATTCACTTGTCCTGCCTATAGGTAGATGAACAGAACCTCCTCTCTTAAATCTTTCTTGGCATGGGTAAACAGTGTTACAGGATGTTAAAGTTAGAAACTAAAGAAAGTAGGTGTGAATATCAATAAACTCAAAAACAAGACACATTTCTAATAATAAAATTTCAGATAATACTATGGCTCTATAGAATGCGCAAGTATTTGGGAAAAGTGATTTTAAAAAACATCCTTAATTCTATCTTCTGTCTTCTAGCATAATTAAGGAAGTTTTCTTAAGAGATAGTACCTCTCAGCATAACCCAAATGACCTAGCACAGCCCACGCTCTATGTGGAAATGTAGCTCTGTGTGAGACATTCATTTAGTGGGTTCTGATAAATATCTGGAATGACAGCATAGCCAGAGTAGCTGCCAAAAGATTGATGGAGACAGTGAGAACTGCTAGGGAAACGGAAATTAACTCCATGGTACGTAAATATGTGTGTGCTTTTAACAAGCGTGCAAATATCATGGAAGATTGACTGTTCATTTAACCAACTTTCCTTGCAAAGTTTGTGTGGAAGAGTAAATACATGTGCAAAATGCAATAAAAAGGATACAATATTACTTGAAGTGGATGGTAGGAATAGTGACTGTAATTTTTATAACATGGGACAATTTTTTTGTGAGGATATGTTTTTGAAATGATATAAATAATGAGAAATATTTGATATATGTTCATCTGTAGATCATTTTGGGTTAAATGCATTTACTATAGAAATCAAGATTAAACTATGTATGTACATTGGGTTGTTTACACATAGGAGTCTTTTGTAGGAGGGATCTACTTTTTATTTTCTTGAAGTCGTAAGTTCAATAAAAGAGAATTATAGGTACTGATAATGGAAGGAAGAGAATGTGCCGGCAACTCTCTGCTCCCCAACCCAGCTTGAAATGTTCATGAGTTACAGAGATAGGACAACTGCAATCAACCAATGTGTGCTCCCTGCTATACATCCAGATTAAAAGTGAAAAAAGCAGAAAGATATTTAGATATTTTATCTAATACACACCAGGTTCCATTGTTTCCATCTTTATAGAGTTAGTTTTGAGAGACGTCCATGTTTCCAGAAAAAATATTTTATATCAGAATTTTACTGTGTTATATGTTATATTTTGGGAACACGATTTGAGCCTATGTAGTAACAAAACTATGTTTGAAAATATCAAAATGTTTAAATTATTCCATGATCATCTGTATTATTCTTTTATTTTTTTTTTTTTTTGTCTTTTTCCGTGTCCGGCAACGGATCGCAACCCTCAGTGTTGCCCCCGGACCGGGACTGGCAACGGGATCGCAACCCTCGGTGTTGCCCCCGCGCCTCGCTCAGCCAGTGAGCGGGAACCGGTCTGTATGTGGAATCCGAACCCTCGGTGGGAGCGCCGCCGCACTTCCCAAGCGGCGCACTAGCGCAGTGCGCCACCGGGCCGGCCCCCCATCTGTATTATTTTTAAATGTATTCACAGAGCCTGAGGATCTAGTGATAAATTAGCTGTTAGAATTTTTGTTTTACATAATTGAGGACAAGACTTTTTGATTTTTTTAGGTTAACATAATCATATTTAAACTTAGAACCTACAACATTCAAAAAACTTAAAGATATACTTTCTCTTAAGCCATCACTGTACAAAAAACCACATGCAAGACTCACAACATAAGGAGTTTTCACTTCCAGCTCTTTTTCCTGACCGATAAACAAACTGTATCTGAATGTCGAGGATTGTGTTTTGATGGCAAATGTACAGATACAAAATAGAAAAAATCTAGGCATTTCCAAACATATTTATGTTTATATCATATAGATCAAACATCTGAAAGATTAACTAAATTTTTCACTTTCTTCAGACTTTAGGAAGTGATGCAACATAACTATGTACAATTTTAAAAGAATATTGGCTAAAGACTCATTAATATTGTAATACACTATTCCAGTTCTGAGTTTTACTCACTTATTAGGAGTACGAAGGTCAAGGGTCATTTCCTGGACATCAATTTTAATTTCAGAAGGGTTTGTATTTGGCAGTTTAATTTTAACCTGAAAAACAAGATGAGAAAAGAATACTGTTACCTTGGAGAATAGTTAATTTGAAGAGTGTAAGAATATATGGGGAAAGAAGAACTAATATTTATTAAGTGCCAACTATGTACCAGGCTATACCCTTTCCTTGTATCAATCTTGAGAAGCAGGGATTATTATCTGCATTTTACAGATGGAGAAGCTGTAGTAGAGAAGTTTAGTGAGTGGCCGAAGGGCAACTGTCTGTAATTTGATTAAGGTTTATCTGACTTCAAAGCTATATAGATAGACTTTGGTTACTTGCCTGTAACCTTGAAATGCATCTGCTAGAATCGGGGACTTTCAACTGCCTTTATATCAGTGGGAAATTTGTAGAAAGAATGTTTAGTTCTCATGTTGAGTGTGGGTTGGCAATGCCATCTTGTAGTCTCCTGGTATAAACTCCCGTACCACATTTCACAGGAAGGTGTAGGAGTGCAGAAAGCTTATTAACATAATAAAAGAGAAATAATGATATGACCCCACCTCCCAAAAAGGAGTATTTGTTGGCTTAGTAAAATTTCACTTAGAAATGTCTCATCTCAATTACTACATGGCCCAGCAATTCCACTCTTGGGTATATACCCAAGACCATTGTAAGCAGGTGTTCAAACCAAAACATGTACGTGATATTTTTGTTCATAGCAGCACTATTCGCAATAGCCAAAAAGTGTAAACAACCCAAATGTGTATCAGCTGATGAATGGATAAATGAAAGGTGAGATATTTATACAATGGAATATTATTAATCCATAAAAAGGAATAAAGTACTGTTACATGGATGAATCCTAAAAACAAAGCCAGGCACAAGAAGTCACATATTGTAGAATTCTATTTGTATGAAATGTCCTGAATAGGCAAATCGAGAGAGATAGGAATTAGGTCAGTGGTTGCCAGGGGCTGGGGGTATGGAGAAAAGGACTGTGACTGCTTAATGGGTATAGGGTTTCCTTTTGGGTTGATGAAAATGTTCTGAAACTAGATTTTTGTGTTGGCTGTACAACATTATGAATGTACTAAATGTCACTAATGGTAAATTTTACACTGTGTCTATCTTAGCCCAACACAAAGTCTCATATCTCATTCTAATTTATATTCATTCTCTTCTCGATGGAAGTTGATTAGATGTGTATATATGAGATGACATGGCATATGATTTCCATAAACAAAGAAACAAAAAAAAATACAACATAATATTCAGGCAAATTATTAAGCCTTCTCTAAAATGAGCTAGAAGACTTAAAATATTGAACATCTGGTGATTTCATGGCTGGAATGGCCAGAATGAAAGCAGCAAGTTATTAAGTAAATACATATCAAATAAATAATGGGACAAATTGGAATCTTTGTAAGAAGCTTAAAGTAGGTAATAGGGTTTTTGCATTATAAAATATGTGGACCAATACATGTCTGTGAGTTATAGTTTACCTTATTAAGTCTGTATATTAACAAATATTTGTTAATAGATTTCTAGAGGTGCTATTACCTAAATACTTCCTATGGTTAATATTTTCATTAAACAAAGAATTACCTCCTGATTTATATTTTGAAAATTCAGATCTTCATAATTTGAGATGCTTTAAGTGAGAGAAATAGAACATTTCTCAGAGGTAGTTGTGGAGGGTACTAACATTAATAAAGCACATGTATTTTACAGGGCCTAACTTTTTAGAATTGCACATAGAAATGTTAAGCTTGTGAAAGACAGGAAACTTTCCCCAGGGTTAAAGTCTCTGTTGTAGATAGAGAATTGTAACACAGCAAAATTGCTGGCTCTAAGGGCAGATGTCCTTGGTGCAGCTAAACCTAATGATTGTTGCCAAGACAACTATCTTACTGTTCTTTTTGTAACCACCTGTGTTCCTTTTCTGTAACTTTCTTGCCTGGAGAATAAATACTGAGATTTATTTTTCCAAGGAATGCTTCTCTCTTGAGGGTTCCTGGAAATTAACGCCTTTGGGGCCTCTCACTGCTCCGAAGAAATGGGCTTTGAGTAATCCTTTGTGTCTCCATCACTCTGGGAGAGGTGACAGGTAGTTTTCGTGCTCTGCCTCAAAGTAAATAAGCATTCTATTGGACAAAGAAAGCCCCATTTTCACTGTACCATTCAGGTCTGATAGTCAAGTTGAGATGTTCTTTAACATCTTATATTGACTCATGTCACCTGGATCAAGGGATACAAACATTTATTTCTTTAGTCTGAAATGTTTAGATCTTTCAAGGTAAAATACTATTTTCCCAGGGTTGAAATGACAATTGAGAATGGGAAAAAATTATGACATGTGAAATTTAGATACAACTTTTGGGTAGAACTTTGAAGTGGTTCTTAAAATCATTTGCAGTTCTAGTGAAGGATAATTCAGAAACAACTCACTAAGTTTTCCTCTTAAGGAAATTGAGATTGTGTATTAAAATGGTTTTAGAGGAGAAGGGACAAATTAGGTGGAATGGTACACATTAATATCTTGTAAGACAGAAGATTCAATGACGAATCTTAACAGAAAATCTCTTCTTGAAACATGAGTTAGACTTCTTCAACCATACTTTCAATAAATATCTGGAAAATAGACATGGCTATTAATTGACCTCTAACTGACTGTGCTCAAGACCTAATTTGTTAAACATTAGTAAATACAAGAAGATACCATTGACCAAACAATTAAAAGGATTGATGTTCCTGTTTCTACATAGGATGTACATTGAATTCATTTCAAAGAATAAATTATTTTAATAGGTAAACTAAGGAAAACTGCTAAAAATTTCATTGGGAAACTTTCAACCTGTTGGGAGCTCAACCTTTGGAGTCAAACATGGGCTTGAATTCCAGTTCTGTAACTTATTAGTTATTTATTGTTTATCAGTTATCTAATTGTTACATAACCAATTACCCCTCCCCCCAAAAAATGTATGGCTCAAAACAGTAATAAAAATTTATTATCTCACACAATTTCCATGGATCAGGAATTTGGGACCTGCTTACTTAGCTAGGTGTTCTGGCTTAGGGCCTATCATGAGGTTGTAGTCAAGATATTGGCTGTGGTTGCAGACTTATGAAGATTTCACTGGGGCTAGAGGAACTGCATTCAAGATGTCATTCACATGGCTATTCACAGGAGGCCTCATCTCTTCCCCACATGGATTTCTCCATAGGGTTGCTTGAGTGTCCTTATGACACAATAGCTATCTTCTTCCCAGAGTGAATGATCCAAAAGATCAAGGCAGAAGCAATGCCTTTTTAAAAATGTAGCCTCATAAATTACACTCTTTCATTTTTGTAATATCTTATTGGTTATACAGGTTAGCCCTATTCAGTATGGGAGAGAACTAAACAAAGAGAAGAATATCAGGAAGTGAGAATCATTGGGGGCCATCTTGGAAGCTGGCTACCACAGTACCCATCACTAACTTTAGTTCAAACATCTGCCTATTGGCTTTGTAAGTAATGAGTAACAGGAAAAAAGCCTACTAATTTAAAGTTTGTGAGATTCCCCTCTTCCCCTTGCAGCTTGTCTTCAGGCAAGTCATCAAAAACTATTCAGTCTCTCTCTGAGAATTCACTTTGAGGCTTCCCTAGAAAGAGGTAAAGGTAGGTCAAAGTGCTTACAAATTGTTTTCATGGGCCTTCATTTGTTCTCCTATATGTGTTGTAACAGCTGGCTTACTATACTAAAGACTTTGGGAGAGGGTCATTATTGAGGGATTATTATTTTGAATTTTAAATCCATTCTTTCCTGTCTTGTTCTTACGAGAGATTTATATAACTAGATTTTTCCTGAAAGATCATATTACGAAATGTTTGAAAATTGATATAAGAAGCTCAAATAGCAGGTGTTCCACGTAGGTCATCCATTCTAGTTTTCCTCTTAAACTATCACTTAGTCACTATCAGAAGAGAAGGATACATTAAAAAATATCTTACATATAGTGTATATCATACACTATTTACTGAAATTTCAGTTAAGCTTCACTGAAGGGCTTGAGCTGACACTTTGGAAGATATTCTAAATTAATTGATGGGTTCTAGATATTGTAAAAATATTCCTATTTGACAGGAATAACAACCACTGCCAATACATTTGATTATTGGGGAAGAAGTTAAGACTATTTGAGTTTCCATTTGAAACTTAACAACATTAGGAAATTTTGATTAACAGAAAAAGTTTGCGTAGGTTTCATTCTGAATTGCTTCAATGATTTAATTTCCCATTGTTTAACTGTAAAAACACACGTGAGATATTTTTTCTACTGCAGCCATACTAAGTATTTTACAAAAACTCTTATAAGCAACGATAATCTGTAGGAAAATGAAAAAAGTTAAAGGTGATGGATTCCTACTTTGAAATTATATAAATATTTACCTGTGAAGAATAAAATTATAGAGACATGTATTTTCTAAAACTAGGGCACGAAGCAAATAGATTGTCTTCTTAAATTAATGAATAGATTATCTATAATGTTACCATTTTGAAAAATTTTAGTACTATATTGCCATGCCTGTCTTCTTTTTTTTGATAGATCATAGAAGCATGACTCTTCCCCTGTCATAGGAGTCAAGAGTAAACTCAGCCTATTCTGGAGTAAGAGCATTCATCCACAGGCCTCCATACCTGCATTGGTACCCACCCTCACCCCCAAACAACTCACAGCCTCACCACCACCGTCTGTCTAGAGACCACCAAAACTAAATTCATTGTACTTTTATCCCTATTTGCCAATAACTACAGGAAGCCTCTGACTCTGAAATCATTCCTTATCACTTAATAATTACCATATGGGTCATCATATCTCCTATTCTGTCTCCATTTCCCACCCCTCATCAACTCTTGAAGTACTTCCATTAGGTCTTCTGTAAAACATAATACATCATCCCTTGCCTCTTAAGCCTCTTTGAATAGTCTCTTTAATTTCTTAGTCTAACTGAAATCTGGATCTCCCCCAATGACACTGCTTCCCCCATAGTCTTCTCATTAGTTGGTGCC